TCACATGTGGTACATGAGGTGGAACGAAATTGTGCACTCAAGGTCCCCGTTACACCCCAAAATAGCAAAAATATAAATTATAAAAAAGAAGCAGTATACAAGGATATAAGATTTACTGTACGCTGAACCAGTGGTTCTCATACTGGGTCCCCCCTGGACCCACGGGGGTCCGCAAACCAGTGCTTGGGGGTTGGCCAAAAAAAAAAAAAAAGTTTGTTTTTTGCTTGTTTGTTTTTTACAAGCACGTAGATGTTTAACAACCTATTAAAATACACCAAAATGCAGGAAATCCATCTACTTTGTTCAAATTTTCTGAGGGGGACACGCCCGCACCACCTCGCCCATTATTTGCATTCCAGCATCGATCTTACAAATTAAGCTGTTACTTGGTGTGACTACTGCTGTTAAGGTTCTGTTCAGTTTTATGTAAAAGCGTTTTCTGTAATAATTTGAAGAAGTGGCATCACATTTATGTTCATTATTTGAATAGGTAAAGTTTTTTTTTTAACACTGTTAATTTTCTCAAAACTGTCATTTTTGGAAGTTGAAATTAATTTTTTTTTTAATTAAGTGCGTCTTGAATGAAAAACACCCAATGTTTAAAAGTACAAATTATGTATTAACACTATTAAAGAACAGGTCTTGAGTTATTTATGTTACACAGATATTTCCATTGCATTAAAGAGACAAATTAATATAAACTATTTAATAAACATGAGGGTTATGAAGGGGTCCCTGAAACTTTTTCTCCTCTGTAAGTGGTCTCTGAACCCAAAAAGTTTGAGAATCACTGCTTTAAAGCAACGTAAGAAATTTCCAATTAATTTTTCTCAAAGTGGATTCTCAGGAGTCAAAACTGAAATGAAGAATAATTTATATCCTAACACAGACATAAATACAACGCTATCAATCACTAATCTATACATTGAATAAAACAAATTCCAAGACACGGCACAAACAAATACAGAGTGTTTTATGAGGGAAGGTGTGGACGAACACTGATCCACAGCACTGACACGGAGGAAGGGGAGCATGGGGGGGGGGGGGGATTTTAGAATGAGATAGGTGATAATTACTCTGCATCGGCCACTGGGCCTGGCCCCCACAGCACCCACCTCCGTCAGGGAAGAGGGACCAAAACACCACCCGGTAGCCTTTCAGCACACCGTGCAGCGTCATGCGTGGAGGCTCCGCCCACGTGATCACCGCCTCGTCTGACGTCACCGAGATGGCCCTCACGTTCTGCGGAGGCTCGCTCGGCACTAAAATAAAAAAAACAAAAACAAAGAGCAGATGGAAGACAGGGAGCGTTAGGGCCGCACAAACCCAGTTTATGAACATTGAATTTGCCGTGTCCCGATTTGAAATAACTCCTTGTTGCCATGAAGACCCAACAGATCTGAGAAACAATCACTCAACATCATGAATCCCAGGCAATCAGCACTGAAGTAAATCAGCCAAATGGGCTGAAATTAGCTCTGAATTGCTCCTTGTTCTTTTCCAGCTTTCAGAGGAGGGGAGGTGTTGGTGGTGGTGGTGGTGGTGGTGGTGGGGGGGTAATGGCAGGAAGGAAGAGCGCCGAGAGCAGCATGAATGGTAAAACAACTCAACGTTAAGGGTTAAATGCAGATGAGGGCAGTGGGAAGGAAGACAATGTTAATCTTTAATCCAGTGGAAGTAAGGGCGGCTTCAGATTTAAATCCTTCACTCAGAAAGTGTTTACATGAGGAGGATGAGGGAGAAACAAAAGAAATGAAAACAGGGAGTCACTTTTGCGTTTCTACCAGCCTAAAGAAGGACACCAAACAGAACAATCCATGATGTGCTGCTATTAAATGTCCACCATTTTCTTTAGGCACCTGTCTGTTCAAGTTGCACAAATAAAAGGTACGTTCTGTGTATTTATAATTTCATTCATTTTCTCAAAGCCCCTTTTCTTTCCCTCCTCACTACAGTGGTCTGATCACATCACTCTACTTCAAACCTTTAAATGCACAAACTTGGTGCACAGGAAGTGCATCAGACTTGTGGTGTCATTTTTACAGTCACTAACAACAACCTGAACATAAACGTCAATCCAACACAAAAGAAGACAACAACAACAACAACAACAACAACAACAACAGGGACAACCCATCTGGATATATAACACAAAAAAGTCAATTTCTATGCTAAGTCTACCCAGCAGCCCCTGCGGCTCACCCAGTCTCTTGTGTTCAAGTACATGTAATTTTAACAATTCACACTAAAATTGAACAACTCAGAACTTACTGTTTCAGATTTTATTTAATCATGTAATGAATCCAAAAATGTAATATTAAAATTTTCAATGTGAACCTAAATGGGAAATTTATCTTTTTTTAAACAAACTACAACTTCAGTGTGGATTTATGAATTCACAGGTTGCAAGTGAATGCATCACAAATCTTCGTGTGAGCAAAGAAAAACTTCTGCAGGGCCTTCCTGAAGGCTCAGATTCCTGTGGTTTGGTCCCACCCACTCTTCATCAACACTGTGATTGGTTACTTTTCCTGTCATTCATTAAACAAATCCGCCTGCAGAGACTTTGACTCAGCTCAGCCTTCTCTGCTGACAGTGAAGTCCTAACCAATGAGCAAGAACCTTCAAATGTGTTACTACATGGAGACACAAATGTAAAACAGTTTGATTCTGAATAACTATACTTTCAAGGATTTAAAAGTTTCTTGCTTAACTGTCAAGTCATTCACAGAAATTAAGAGAGATTACCGGTAGCAAAAAAGCTACATTGAAAATAAAAATTTTATATAAAATTGATATTAAATCAACATTTGAATCGAACATTTCACATGTGCTGAATTCTTAGGCCTTCTCTGAAGGTGTTGAAGGCCCTGAGAGTTCCCACTGATTGACTCTGACTTCCTGTATCTTTCATACCGTCTTCCAGAGTGGTGGCGTTGATCTCGGTGCTGGACGGGCCCGTCCCGGCCCTGTTGAAAGCCTGGACTACGACCCCGTACTGTGCAAACTTCTTCAGGTTGTCCAGCGTGTACACTTCACTGTCCCCCGTGGCTTTCATCTCCACGATGCTGTACTGGCCGTTGCTGCCTGGACCGTTCTCTCTGTAACCGATCTGATAGCCTCGGATCACCCCGTTCTGCAGCTCCTTCTTAGGAGCCTAAAAGTTCAGAAGAAAAAAGACAATGAAGGGTTTATTTGTAGAATATGGCAGCGACATAAAAAGCCAAAAACAGCAGAAAAAAAGTTTTATCAGTGCAACATTTTATTTACAAGAAAATTATTTATTTTTATACGTGTGTGCATTTAGAATTAGAGTACAGTAGTCCCTCATTTATCGCAGGGGATCCGTACCCTGAAGCCCGCGATAAGTAAAAAAACGCAAA